AACAGCGGTCCAATAGCCACATAAAGAGTGGAATGGAGAGGTATTTATCTCAAATATACACGTTAACATTATGTTTTTGTCGTAATAAACCTGAAAGTTTGACATGAATAAATTTTCTTTTATGAGAGTAAATTAGTCACTTAAAATCAGTATGAAAACTTGTCACTGGCAGCTTAAAATGTAGATTTTTAAAATTAAAATCATTTCATGGTAAGTTGCAGCTCAAGAGATCTAAACTGAACAAAAATGTGGACTACCACTTACAATGAATTTGGTGTTTGACACATTGCCCTATCATTTGGGGTTTTTCATTTGTACCTAAACACAGGCAAACACTGACACCATAATTGGAAATCATTTCTGCTCAGGTTTTCTTTTAAAAAATGTTCAAAAGTTGCTTTGACTTGGTTGTAAAAGTGTACAGAACTAATTTTAAATATTCACCCATAAATCTGTTCAGCATCAGCAAGTTAATCATGCAGAGTGATTGAATGAGTAACCAGAGTGAATTAAGGGTCATGCAGCACGTTCCAACGTCCCATCAAAGTGTCAGACAGTCATTCACACAGGGAGGCAGACACTGTACTGTACCATAGTGACTATAGATTTTATCATCATTTTCTCCTCGGAACCTGCCTCGCCTTCTCTTATCTTTACCACAGGTACCTCCATTACTGTGATGGCCTGGAAAAAACCAACCAGCAGGACATGGAGGTCAAACACTGGCATTTAAAGAAAAAAAAAAGATCATAACAAAAGAAGGGCAAATATGAAAGCTGAGAGAGAAAATTGCAGAAGGGCAAGGACAAATGCATACAAATTACTACCATGTGGGGACAAAAACACAATGAGGGGTGGATTTCTGGACACAGTGAGGGGCAGGTCTAAGAAGATGGGGCGGAATCTTTGTCCTTGCAAAGTTTAAAGATGGTGTCTTCAAACAAATATCACACACCTAAAGGAGGATGGACGAAGAGCAAAAGATCATCCTGTTAAAAATGTATATGATGTTCAAAGCCTCAGGAGGGAGGTGGAGAAAAGGGACAGATGCCGATTTGTTCTTGGGTCTGCTGAGAACAAATCTGAGAATAAACTGCAAAAAAATAAAAACCTTAGCCATGGTCTGGCTTTCCTTTCTACCTTACAATCTGCAACAAATACAAGCTGGGGGGAACCACAGAGGACCAGCAAGTTGGACAACCTTCTCCGTTTCAGTGTGAAGTGATTTCCATAGAAGCATAAGCAGCAGGAGAATAAGGGTTCAAGATAACTACAGCCCTTTCTCCATAGCTGTGGCTTTCACCAGTTCTCCCTCTGTCAGTCCCAGCCAGATTCTCCATTAGTGGATCCTGCACAGCGGGACAACTAAGTGGGCAGGGTGTACAAATCTGGAAGTAGCTCGGTATTGAGACTGCTTTAGTTGACCCGTCTCACCATCTCAACCAAACTGATCACAGTATGGTTAGACCTGGAAGGCCAAATCTTTTTATGAATTAGGAAGAGCAAATACAATATCAACTGGATGGAGCAACCTGCAACGAACAGATGGACCAAGAGATTTTGGAGAAACTGGTTGCCTAAGGGTACACTTGTAAAATGACATCATCAGAGCAACAAGCTCAGCTCCTGCACGCTCACGGCCCACCCACGTTCCTGCCTATACTCATCCCCACATAGAGAGGAATAAACTGCTAATGGAGACACACCCAACTCTGCTAGGACCAAACTAGACATTAACTGGCTAGAGTGGGATTTGGCAATGGAGGAGGTTAAAGCTTAAAGCTTCAGGACAGAATAATGGAAAACACACCAAAAGTGTACTTATTTGTGTCAAAACAATAATAGGCCTGTCACGACAAACAATAAATCAATAAATCGCACGATAAATGAAAATCATCGACCTCATTTTAATTGATCAGCTTTCTCGTTTCTTCCTGCCTGTTTCTCATTCTATTAATAACATTAAATGAAAAAAAGGCTCAACTCTGGTGCTCTTCACTGACCCCTCCCTTCCTCATTCCCTTAGTGTAAAGCCCAGCTCACACTATGCAATTTTAGAATTGTCGGCCGATCGTCTACCCATTTTCAAAACCTGAGTAATAGTAAGTATTACAGGTTCGATCTGGTTCAATCGTGCTGGGTATGATGTCCCGCCACACAGCAAGAGCTACACACCACACACGAACCGATTTCTCTCACCGACATTCAGAGTTCAGACAGAAAATCAGACGTGAATTTAAAGTAAACGAACGCCGGTGATGTATTGCCTTATTACCTCATTGAAGGAATTCTACCTTTTGTGATATTGGCTGGCTATTTATGTCATGTTAACGATGAACAGCTGAAAAGTTACCGGGTTTATCAACTGCGGTAACAATTTCACTCCAACTCCTCTCCTTGTCATTTCTGTGGATATTCCTATCACGAAATGTTGAATAATTATTATTGTTGTTTCCACATATCATCTCCGATGTCCGCTGGACTGTCGTTGCGCTGTGTCAGCTGTTTGGGATTCTCCTCTGTGTTTTCCCTTCAGAAGGCGCAAAGGATTCTGCGCTTTCTGATTGGCTACTTGTCACATTCAACAGGGTGCGTTCTGGCTCCCAGTCAGGGAAAACCCCACACACTGCAGTGATAAACTGGCCAAGACAATCAAACATGTTGAATATGCCTGATTTAGATCAGAGCAGCCACGACGTTTCTACCAACCCAATCAGTCGTAACACACCACACACTACAGGATGATCGTTGGCGTTCTAAAATTGTCAAAGGGCAAAATCAGGGTAAAATAAATTGTGCAGTGTTAACTGGGCTTAAGAGAGGAGTGAACTATGGGATCAGGATGTCGAATATGCCCATGTTCTCTATCTAAATCTAATTATTATTGAAGGACAAGATAGTGTACAGACTTCGTAATCTGTACTCTTTTGGTTGAATATAGTTTTATTTCCACTTTGGTTTTATGCTGTGTTTAGTTTTTATTCAAGTGCATTTTTTGTTAACGGAGACTGAGAGCCCATTTTATTTTTGGTTGTTTTGTTTATTTTGTTTACCACTTCCAGTGTTTAGTGATTTTTTGAAAATAAAGTGTATCTATGTTTGGCAGGATATCGCATGCATTATTATATCATTACCATTACATCAGTTTAAAATGGTCTTCAAACAATATTATCGTTTATCGCAATAATTTTTGAGACAATCACCCAGCAAAATGTGTTATCGTGACAAGTCTACACACATATATACAAGGGGTTCACCGATTTATCGGTGACAATTTTCTTCATTTTGGGAGATCAATGATCATCTGAATGATTTCAGATGATGCATTCTGAATGCACTCCATTCCATGATCACTGAATGGAAAAAGGGCTGATGTACCTGCAGGGCTTTGACAAGAGCTTCATTTCTGCCCGCTTCTCCCACCAGAACAACTCGTGTCTCCACTTTGGGCAACATATCTGAGAAAGAGCAGAAGCAAAATTAATATTCAACCATTTTCTATCAAAGTAACAAACAAGGACCAATCAAATGGAACGAAGACAAAATGACAAAAATTCTGTCCATAAATGGAAAACTTAAAAGAAACATAGACAAGCAAAAATCAACTTATTGTAATGACAACCTGGGGAAGCTGAATCTTCACTTCTAGTATTGCCATCAACAGATCAAACTTAATGCTTCATGTTTTAGGAGATCCATTTAAATGTTCTCAAATTTCAGAATAAGCACTTCCACACAGATTGCTGATATTTAATTAACCCCATAACTAGGGGTGCACCGATTGCAGTTTTCAGGTCGATCACCAATTACCGATCTTTTAAAAAGCTTAACCTGTTGATTCCGATTTTGGTCAATATCAATTTTTTTTTTTGTCTGAAATGTTGCTCAATATAGCAAGAAAGTTGTTGAATTGGTTACAGTGAGGTCACTATTGTTAATTGTAAACATGCAGATATAACTTCGGGGGCTGGTCTGTCAGTCAAACTTTTCCCCCCGGAAAGCAAAATAGGACAGTGGTTGATTCTTCGACCTTTGCCAAGCCAGATAACATCGGTGGATAAGATCGGTTTCATATGTAAAAATCGGCCGATCACAGATCTCCCAAAATTAAGGAAATCGGCATTGATAAATCGCTGCACCCCCATAACTGCCACGAGGACAATGGTGTCCTCAAAGACTGGCATGTAAGTGATTTTCTGCTGGCAGTTAAGGGTTAAATAATGTCTATTCTAGCAGAGGTAAAAAGTTAGGACACCCTACCAGCTAGTTTTAACCTCTTAGGTAGAAATAACCTCAGTGTGTGGAGCTGCCCCAGTTCTCTCAGTCAGCTGTGGGATGTTTGAAGGGATTCTTGCATGTACACCCCGCTTCATGTCCCCCTTCTAGATCAAGATCCTGGTTGACTGCTGTCTTTATTCTCAGCCCACCCACAATGGACTGATTTGGGTCACTGGAGGACCCAGTTATGCTTCAGCTTGAATCATTAGACAGAAGATATCAAATTTAAATCACAAGGACCCTCTGATTCACTGTGGATTAAATGATGGTGGTTGCTATAAGATTCTCTTCCTAGAATACTATATTTGGTTCATCCTTTCATGAAAGATAAACTTGCTTAGTCTTTTTCTGACTGTACAGGCATGAAATTTAAAGTCAAGTAGCTCCAACTTGCTGTGGGTCTGTCACAACATTTCTGTGTTTCTGAATACTTCCTTTATCAACTTGCTGTCTGATTTAAGGGTGAACTTGCTTGATCAGTCAGACCTGCCCACCAGACTATTTTTTGGATAGTGTATAGGCTGGTTTCAGTTTGTTTTAGGGGCTGTTTGAATCCCTTACCACACTAATAAGCAGCTGAAGTCATCTCAACCCTTTATATCCAACCATGTTTACTATCTCTCACTTCATCAAGCTAAATGTCTGAGGCTCAAACAGGGCAATCTCTCCTCAGAATGCTGTGTAAGTGTTCTGATCATGTGCTGCTGATTTGTTACACAATGTGAGACTTTAGTTGGGGTTAAATGTCGATGTGTCCCAATTTATTCCTAACCAAACTGCATTTATAATTAATTTTACATTAAGTTTCATGTATTTTCTTACTGCTTATTTATATTACCCAATATTGTTAAAATTTCTATTTTATATTGTATTAAGGATTCACTAATAAACTAGGCCAATATTATTTATATATCTCCGTTTAAGAAAATGGCCGTTTATCAATTAATCATTAGCCGATCGCTAAAATAAATCACCTTTAGATTAACTCAATTGATAACTTGCATCCTTAACAGATAGACATGAACCTGTTCTTACCCACCTCTGCAAAAGTCTGAAAATCATCCCTCCCTTTTTACTATGTCATGACAAAGGACTGACAGAGGCGACCACCAGGTGATGTCTACTGTTGCCAACTTAGCACCTTTGTCACTATATTTGGGGGTGGAATCTGAATCAGCAGATCAGGCTTGATAACGATTGTAATCAGCCAGAAAACTTCAATCGGTGCACCCCTGCAAACATGGCTTCTCTGCTTCTGTTCAGCCCACAGTGCTGTGCTGCATCACAGCAGACATAAACAACAATATGGAAATAATATTTGTTTATCAATATTGGCCCAGTTTTAGAATGATATGTTAAAATTACTAACAAGCCAATACCAATGTTGATGCTTATTAGGCCTGTCACAATACGTTTTTCTGGACAGTCCAAGAAGTTAAGTCTAAAAAAAACTGTCCTTCAAAAAAGGAGCTAGTTGAGACCAAAGCACTAGACTGAGAAATTTAGTCATCCAATTTTTGATAGAAAGAGAGAGACAAAAGAGAAAAACAAATCTTTGAGCTTGTTTTAATTTATCATGTGACCAGTTGATTTATTGCAAAATGCCTAATGCTTATATGTCGTGGATCTCTAACACATCATTCTAAAACTGGGCCAAAGGTGTTTGAGGAACACACAAGTCAGGGCAGCATGTGACGGCTGGTAGAGCAGTAATCTACTTCAGGATCATCTTTGCTACATGTCGCCTATTAAAAGCCACAAGCACCATAAATCTCTAAATCACAGGGTGTCCTAACCTTTTCACACACCATTAACAGTTCTACTTATTCAATGTTTCTGTAAATTCCCATATCACACAGTGGGTATGATAAATACAGGATATGACAGGAATCTGAGAGACAGTCCTGATCTTCACGCGGCACAATAGAAAAATAAAATGCCAGACATATGAGAGAAAACCAGAACTAGAATAAGTAACATCCGCTGTCATTTCTCACTCACCTTCCCCATCTTCACTGGTCATCCCCACGAAGCACTGGTCCTTAGTGGTTTCAACAATCCTGGAGTCATAGACTGAAGAATCCACCAGCAGACTCCGGGCATGTCCCAAAGTCAGCATGCTGCTTTCAGCCATGGCAGGAACCCTGAGATGTTCAAACCTTTCAGGGAATGAGCAGAAACACAAAAGAGGAGAACACTGATGTTCCTTGCTTTGCAGCAGTTCATAAATTGATTTGGTAAACTTTAAATAGCGAGGGAAAAGAATGGCGAGATATATACATTTAAAACGCCTAAAGAAACAAGAATAACATGAGGTAATAGTTGTGCATGCTAAGTAATTAAGTTTAATGCTTAGTCAGCGGCTATATAGAAAATGAAATTCGGATTCAATTCCTTAAATCTGAATAAAAAGCAGACCTACAACTTACCTTCGATTAAGTCTCTAGCTAACTTAGCTAACTGCTGAGTTGCAAAGATAACGAAATGGAACTCAGTTATCTCCTCTTAACGTCTCTTCAAACCAGTTCGTAAGGTTCCCCCAAAAAAAGCTCCAGCACCAGTCAGTGCATGTTGTTCCAAAACGGCAAAAAGAGTCTAATAAGCTTTTCTGTTTGCTTACATTTATTTACCTCAGTGAAATTGTCAGTATTCTGTTAGAGCTTAATTCAAAAATGAAGGCTAACAACAGAGCTACGTATTGATTGGTTTGGAGTGATGGAACGCCTTCTTGCTTCCGCTTAGCGAGGATTCTGATTGGTCCGTTTGTTCAAATTCACAATGCACACCTCAGACAAGGGACAGTTTTGTTACATTCAGGTGCTATCGGAATTATTTTATCACTTACGTTACTGTATGGTGATTTTACTTAATTTTACCTATTTTATGTTACTGTTAAATAACACCCACCAGTACTAATCAACAAAATAACCAGCTTTATTTTCTGTATTATGGTAAATGATCAACAGCGAAAGTAAAAGCTACCTCCATTCAAATAATTAAGCATAATTAATGTTTTTGTTTTTTTGTTGTTGTTTTTTTTTAAATTAGAGATACACAGCATGAGTCTTATGTCAGTGCATAAGATATGGATACTTAATGTATAGGTAAAGAAGAATCACAACATTCAATGTAGATGCACCAGCTGCAAGTGCTGTTTCTGACAGCAGAAGTATGGCAGTGAGAACAAAGAATATGCTCCATGGCTACTGGAAGGGAAACATTACACAAAGTCATTTCACAAGTAATAAGTAGGTGCATAGGTGGGTCTATGGGTGGAGTACCCAAAAATTGGACTCAAGTAGGAGTAGCAGCACTACTACAACAAAGTTTTACTCAAGTAAAAGTAAGAAGTATCCATCTAATAATTACTCAAGTAAGAGGTATAAAGGTAACTGATCAGATCATCTGATTTAATATCAGATGATATGACTAAACCTGACTGTTTAGTCAAAATGTTTTTTTTTTACTATTTTCTCTTCTGGTTCCATCAATAAATATCAGTAAATTAAAAAATATGATTAAATGCAATTACTGTGCACAGTTCAATGACAAAAATACCAACAGTTGATTTCCTTTTTCACCCAGGACATGATTTTTCTCTAAATGGCACCCAGGAACATTTTTTTTTTTTCACCCTTCCTTCCTGAAACTTAACTAGACGTGTTTGAGTTATGGCTTTAGTCAACTATCTCGAAATTGCTATTAATAATTTTTGCTTCTTCAACAATTATATAAAGGACATGTTTTTTTGATGGAAGGCATCAAGTATTTTCAAGTCCAGTTGAATGTAGTTTTTATTTATCCTTTATTCAGATAAACAATTTACTTCTCACCTACAAACATAACTACAAGACTACAGAAATAAATAAAAACATGAAACACAGCTATGACAACTCACTGTTTTTAAAATCAGCCATGTTCAAAACCTTCTGTAATTTTAGAAAGTCAAGCCTTAAAATCATAGCTCTTTAACTCAAGTTGGACCCAGGTCCATGTGTTAGGAGCTATGTCTACACCTCAAGTTTTCATATGAAATCAACAGATGTGGTGCTCTATGCTGTAAAAAAATGATTACTAACTGGGCAGATTAATACAAACACTTTAAAAATGGTAATTAAATTAAAGAATATTCACAAATGTTATCACATAAATTATAAATAAAGTAAGCACTGGAAAGTTGAGTTCAGTTTTACATTTTTAAATCCATTGAATTCTCTCATGTTATTCCTACCTAGGAGGAGCACTTTAAAAAAAAAAAGTGTATTAATGGTAAATACATGTGTCAGCGGAGAATTCAAAACCAAAGATTGAGTCAAGGCGAGACAAGACCAAGACTTTGGGGATCTAAGACCAAATGCTCAAACCAAAACAAATGACAGATAATTTTTAGAATCATTAATGCCATTGCTGCTGCAAATATTCAATGAACTACAATAGACAATAGAAAGGCTCCAACTGTTTCCACTGGTTTAAGTCTTTTCTGTCTGGTCTGCCAGAACATGTAGGTCAACTAAAACTTGTCAGTGATCAGTCCCACCCACAGCCTGCAAGGATAAACGGGGAAAGATGGGTGGATGGTATTTCATACACTGTTCATTCCTTTGTTTTGAGATACATATTTGTGTTATTTGTGTATCGGTTTATTTTAGTGTTAGTTTTTGGCTTAGAAGTTCCTTTGGAGTTCGTGTTTATTTCTGTTACTTTGTAATGTTTTCTCAGTTACCCAACTAGCTCCTAACCAAGCTGATCTACATCCTCATGGTTAGTCTCAGCTAATTCTCATTTCATTTAATATCAGACTGGACCTAATGTTTTTTAGTTTTTCTTTTTTTTCTTCTTCTTCCATTTGACTTCTGCTATATCTTCAGTATGCTTTTCACATTCCTGAGCTGTCAGATTCTGGTCCACTCACCACTCTGACATCCACAGCTCTTCCTCTTCTTCATCTTCGTGTGTTCAGTCCTCAGGAGGGCTCTCACTCTGGAACAAAGCTTTGTCAGGAACTCTTCCAACCTTTGTTTTCTCTGCTCTTCAACACTCTTTCACCAAGAACCAACAAACACAATCACTCTTGGTTGAAACTCCAGCAATGCTGCAAAACGAAAGTAGCTGAAGGCAGTTGTTCATCAAATTTGGTAAAATGTTTGTATGCTTGTAAATGCTATGTTAAATAATTTTCCCACCACATTTGTATAGCACTTTATCAAGTCCAAAGGATTCCAAAATCCTTCGCACAACCTTCAGTCATTCACACATTCACACACTGATGGTGGAAAGCTGCTGAATGGCAGCCACTGCTGCCCTGGGGCAGTCTGACAGAGGAGAGGCTGCCATGCACTGGTGCCACCTGCTGGTGCCAGTACATGGCAATAGTTTTTATGTTGCTACATACAAACTAATTGCAAAGCATAACATACTCCTTTAAAACACTTTAAGGTCTACACTACAATAAGCAGTGCTTGATTTAAGATTAAAATCAACAACCCCAGTTTCATTTGCAGGAAGCCAAGATATTCAGTACATGCTGAGTACATTATGTACATTGTCAAGTTTCACAGTTTATTAAAAATGGATTAATTATTTTTCTCACACATTTAAAACGATGACAAACTAGCATATAAAATATGATTTTTCTGATACAGTACGATGATCTTGTAGTTTCTGATTTAATCATGAAGGCCCTTGCTCCAGTGTCTAAGATTTCCTTTTAGTGTTCACTCTAAACACTAAAAGGTGTAGTTTGAGTTTTTAGTTTATATTAAGTCTCTTTTTCACTCTTGAGTTAAAATGTATTTTTTAATAACAACCCTTAAGCTTAAGTATGTGTTAGAAGTGCTCTGATATAAATAAAATATATGAAAGCTGTGATTATTTGAGACCAGACAAGAAGCATTAAGCATTTAGGACATCACAATATTTTTTCCATAATTTATGGTTCCATCTTGGATCAGTGAAAAGCAGATAAAACAAATTGGCACTGGAAAGGCAGAATACATTAGGCATTCAATCCTCTCTTCCTCTTCAGAAGGATCACAGACCCGGCTGGAATGGCACTCCTCCGCATTTCCAGAGGATTCATGATCAATGACAGAAACACAGATATCCTCTGAGACCTTTTATGATTCATGTGTTAGAAATCAGTAGCAATTGCTGGGTTTCAGTCACATAACTCGGATGACACACGAAATTCAGATGGAGGGCCAGAAGGGGATTTCTCCAGTTCAAAACAAAGCAAAGTTGATCACAATGAATATGCTAATGCTCTAAACAGGCTGGAACAGCAGAGGTATCTTAAAAAAATATGCGTATATTTAGGATATGATCCGTATTATCTCGGTAAAAAAAGACTTCCCTTATAATCTTGAGGATGACCTGGTGTCGAGGCGGTCCACAACTGTACTAACTACCTGGAGCTGCAGACCTCATACACCACGAGGACGGCTGCCACCTGTCTCATAATTTGCTTTTAAATGTGGCATCCCATATTGAACCTACACGGGACGCAATTTGTTCCGTATTCTTCAAATGTATATCTGTAACAATAAAGAAGTGGTCCCCGAATACTTTATATAGTAGGCTGCCCCAGTCATTGTTTGACTCACGGTGTTGGTGTTGCGATATTGTGCCCAGCTGCTTTCTGAGTAACAAGCCCAGAAAGCAGGAGTCACTCAGAAAGCAGGGGAGGGGGCCCTACCCCCTCCCCCCACTTTACATATATAGGGACTGGTCCCTTATTTTAATTTCTGAAAGGTGGCAACCCGAACCACGAGCCAGAAGAAACTTTTCAAAAACCTGGAGAATACAATCATTTAGTTTCAAGTTGGGTCAAACATTTAGGATCAAAAGCAGCATTAGATGTTTCTGCCGGGTGAATAGTGAGTTGTGCTATTTTAAGTAATTAGACTATGTTAATGATGCTTTGCGAACACCAAACTAACCCATGTCATTTTATGAGCTTGAATCTCCTGGTAAATTATTTGTTTAGCTTCTGTAAACCCAAATTCATGCTGGACTTCCCCGTGTACCTGTCTGGCTCATAGACCTGGCTATAGTTCAGGCACGTGCAGAGAAGGGGGCCTACCCTACGGGTGCTTGAGCACCTGCCCCTTTTGCTCCTTGCACCCAAGTGCCCTTTTGGTCAATTTTTTTTTCTTTTGTAGTATTATTTTCTAAGCCCTCTTCTGACACATAATAACATGTACTAAAATTATTATTATTTTTTTTTTTTTGTTGGGGTTTTTTTGTACAACATAATAAGCCAGGCACCTTGTTACCTTTGACCTTTTGCCCATGACGCATGACGCAATTGCCTCTCGCGCAGTGAGATAAGGCGGCTAACTGCGGAGCTCAACGTAGTAAACGTTCCAGAGTACAGAACAGTTTTTGGTGAATTAAAAAAAAAAATGTTTTTGGTGAATAAAGTGGAGTAGACTTGTCAGATAACGGAAAACGTTGAAGTATCATTTCTGCTTCAGCATAGAGTAGCGGCTTAAGCAGAGAGGTCATGAAATACAACAGACACTGACAGGTCTCTGCGTCTGCCTTTCTCTGAAGAACTACTGAGCGGGAGGAGACAGCCAGGTGAGGAAAAACTGTTCCTATCTATTGATTCAGTATTTTTACCATATAGACATCAGGTTGTTGTTGTTGTGCTATTAGCTAGCTGCTAGCT